GGAATTGAGTCAGTTGTCGGTAGAATATAGCAACGGGAAGTTAGCACTTGAAGAAGAATTAAAGTCAGCCTGTGAAGACTCAGTGTGTGATTAGAAGATTTAGTCACAGGGAGATTGTTTTAATTCCGTTACTCGGATACGAGTAGTGAAGACTGAGAATCCTAGTGCGTGTGTAACGGTGAACTGCAAAGTTTCTAACTCAGCGATAGCGCTGTAAAAAGGTGAAGTTGTCCCTATGTTTAACTACTTAAGCACTAAGCTATGAAGGCGTAGGAGAGTGGATGTATAGATCCAAATTTTCTTTGCCTCGGCACTAGCTGGAGGAGCGCTGTATTGCTTGTAAGTACGAGTTGATTGTATAAGGTGTTAATAAATCCAATCATCCAATCCAAATCCCGGCTATAATCACTAATACATGTGATGTATATTTGTTATACACCAATATTTTGGTTGGGAGAGCCGTTTTCTTAAACATCTCATAAAGTGCGACTTCAGCTGCGTGTAAGGGATGAATTATATTTGACCATCACGAACCAAAACTGAATTCGCCTAGCAACGTTTGGTGCAGACTCCTCGTACAAACTGAGAGGATAAGAAAATGAGAAGAGGATAAGAAAATAATTGTGGCCCGCAAGTATTAAGACAGAGTCGCGAAGTTTGTCTGCGGGCAGGGAGAATACGGCTCAAATCCTGTAAGGCATCCGCAGAATGTAATTATAAAGCAGAGATATCTGCTTGGAATTTCTTGGAGAAGAGTAAATGAACTTTCTGTCCATATATTGAATAGATTTGGTCTGAATTAAGACGCATCTAGAGCGCCCTGGTGGGTGGAGTGAGACCAATTGAATTATCATCTCGTTACGACCCGCGTGCTTCAATTAGCATGCTACGACCAGGTTTGGTATACGGAGATATGGAACACACTCTTGTGTTGTACAAGGGAGTGGAACTATTTTTCTTGCCTCATTGCCGGTGTCATATCGCTAAGCTGGACACCTGTGCTTGGCAGGACCCCGGCTCGAATCTCAACCAACATTACACCGCTTTCCTTGCTGACCAAATTTCTACGTTCTATCCATCAGTCCCTCCAGGCGTAGGTCCCACTGTTATAAATCCTTACCTACTCAACCTACTCATGAGTTCAACTATACTGTAAATCCACATTCTCGACTCATCCATCATAAATATTTCTGTCCCTTATTACTTTTTATTATTCTTAGTGGGGTGACACTGAGTCCACTCGGTACTGCGGCCACTACTGGCCTGTTGTACCAGCCCCAGATGATAGATGATGGTTATTGTGGAGCAACTGGGGGGATGAAGATTGGCAGGGAAAACCGAAGTACTCCGAGAAAACATGCCCCAGTGCCACTATGTACACCACAAATCCCACATGACCAGACCCGGATTAGAACTCTGGCCGCCGCGGTGGGAAGCCAGCGACTAACCGCCTGAGCTATTGCGCGGTCTTTCTGTACCTTACTGAATCAATGAACGCCACAGCGTCGATGGGACTTATTCGTTTATAGACTCTAATTTTTTTAGATTTGAGGCTTTCACAGCGGTAACTGCTGCCTTCTGTTACGTGACGCCTTAAGTACCGTGAATGTTTAGAGAAGTGTAGGAGGAATGACGCCGATCACAGTGGCCGCGCTGCCTAAGGTACCAATTGTCTTCACTAACTCGAACACTGGGATCATTGGTTCGAATCCCACTGAAGGCATGGATGTCTGCGTTTATTCTGTGTTTGTGCTGTCATGTGTTCTGCATTTGTGTAGGTAGCGGCCTTGCGACGGGCTGATTTCCCGTCTAAAAGTCTTACCAACTGTTTTAGGATTAAGAAACTGAAGCGAAACAAAGCGTTTCACCGATGCCCTATGCTCCGAAGTAGGAGCACCAGGAAACAGAGAGAGAGAGAGAGAGAGAGAGAGAGGAGGAGGAGGAGGAATGAGCTGCCTTATACTAAAACTCTGAAGATGGAGGCAGAACATTCTCCCTAAATGCTGGTAAACATTTACCAGAATATATTCTGCTGCGTATCTCATGAAACTGCTTTCAGTATTCAGAAGGGAGGTGATTGCACATTAAACTGAGCGAGATTTTTCTCAGTTCTTCCAAATCAGTGCCATGAAAATGGCAGATGAATAAAATGGAGTGGCCTCCCGAGAAATGATCCTCATAACGAGTTTCCTATAAATCCGCGAAGTGTTTGAAAAACTGGCGTAACACGTGAGACAAGCGCACTAACAGGGTAAACCTACCCATGTTACAAGTCAACTGGCTAAATGAAACAGATGCAAAACTGAAGACTGAAAGTACCTACTGAAATTCAGAGTACTCGTAGCTTCCAAACGCAAAACTCATCGGCCTTAAAGATCAGCAAGAAAGCTCAAGCAGTAAAGTGATTAATTACAAGACCGGAGTTCGATTTGCGGCAGGAATTTCATCCTTGCTACTGCCCATATTTTGGATATTGGGCTCATTCAGTCTCCTAATCAATGAGCACCGGGGCCTCTTACTCGGGGATAAAGCAGCAGGAGCATGGTTTTGAGTGTTCCACCTTAATTTAGTAACGAGGTTAAGAATGTGTAAACCCTTACCTCTATTTTGCTCATATGCCTTTATGACGTGATGCTTAACTATAGCGACAACTTTTAATTCTCATTGGCCTTGCCGTTGCTTAGTAATGAGCCAGGTATAATAACTTGTTTACGTCGCCTTTGCCTAGCAAAGCCTGTCTCTTCCAGTCGTCTTGTCACAATACAGTGGCAATTGGACTACTGAAGAGCATAACCGCTGTTGGATGAAAAGATGTTTCAACCTATGCCTTGTGAGTTGTACTTGGTATAGTGTTACACGTGCTCAGCACAGTGCGGTGTCAGCGGCAAGTTTTCATTAACTATGAATAAGTTAATAATGAGACTGTATGCACAGAAAATTATAGCAACATCCCAAACATACACATGACAGCGTCGCGCACTGCAGATATATAGCATTACTTCCAAACACAGCGTACGGCAAATGTCCCATTACCCAACTAATGCCGCAACAAAATTACAGTATTCCATATTGACCGCACAGTTCATAACCACCACACAGCAATATCTCACTGTGACCGCACATCTCCTAACCAACAAACAGCTATATCCCATTGAGAGCGCACCTCCACTAACCAAAATGCGTCCATCGGTATCCTACAACGCAGTTTTCTTGGACCATCAGCTGTCAATACAGAATACGTTTCATTAGAGACGGATGAGTGGCTTCCCAGTGGTGACACACAAGTTCGTCAGACCAGGCTAGACAGTTAATGATTTTACCAGAATCTCGGCGAATTTACTTAACCGGAAGTGTTTTAAATGTGTCAGGAATTATGAAAATGGGCGAACGTCTGGTTTTCTTGTGCCTAATGAGTCACATTGATTAAGCATACGCACATGTAACCCAATAGACAAACCTTCAATATATATACCCAAGGCCTTGTCATGGCTCAGGCTGTTAGTCGCTGGTTTCCCACCGCGGCGAACCGGGTTCGAGTGTGGGTCTGGTATGTGAGATATGTGGTGGATAAAGTGGCACTGGGGTATGTTTCATAGAGTACTTCGGTTTCCCCTGCCAATCTTCATCGCACCAATTGACCCACAATCACCAGCATCTATCACCTGGGGCTGGTACACTAGGCCAGCAGTGGCCGCAGTACCATGTGGACTCAGACTCACACCACTTTACGTATTTTCAATAGCTCTTCCAGCCCATTCAGGGCCTAGGCCTCTTAATCAGTTCCGTAGACGGTAGGGATCCGTACAAGTGATCAGCCCGCTATCTAAACACAGGACAACACAAACACGGAATACACAAACCAAATATCCATGCCCTGAGTGGGATTCGAACCAACGATCCCAGCGTCCGAGCAAGGGAAGACAGTTCATGACTTGACCGCACGGCTACTTATACCGGCGAGTCTCACCCCACTAATAATAATAATAATAATAAGAAGAAGAAAACTTCCATACTTATAGATGTATCAGTACCATCGGACAGGAATGTAGTACAAAAAGAAGCAGAGAAGAAATTAAAATATAAAAATTTAAGCATCGAAATTCAGCGAATGTGGAACATGAACTGTTTTGTGATACCAGTAATTATTGGAGCCACGGGTACAGTCACGAGAGGGTTGAGAAAATATTTGGAACTAATTCCTGGTAAGCACTCCATAGATTCACTGCAAAAAACAGCTATCCTGGGAACATCACACATACTACGGAAAGTGCTACAGTGCGAAGCTTGAAGCCTGAGTGGTGAGGTGCATCACTGGTTCAAGAAAAGGAATACCAGGAAATAAACCTGTGACAAGAGATGATGATGATGATGATGATGATAATAATAATAATAATAATAACAATAAAATAATAATAATAATAATAATAATAATAATAATAATATACCCAATAGGAAGGAAGTGGGCGATCACGGTGGCCACGTGGTCTAAGGTATGAACTGTCTTCATTCACTCGAAATCTGGAATCGTGGGTTCGAATCGCACTCCAGGTATGGATGTCTGTGTGTGCGTTTATTCTGTGAACTTGTCCTGTGTGTAGGGAGCGGCCTTGAGATGAGCTGATCACTCGTCCAAGGAGTCCCACCGACTGTGTAAAAAAGATAACGAAACTGAAGCAGTGGCCCAGGCCCAACAAAGGGCTGTAGATCCATTGATAAAAGAATGAATGGGTAGGCAACGGGCGGAATGAAACACTCATCTGCTATACACTTCACCCAGAATGTTGACAGAGACTAACGTGCCGCGGTCACCCAGTACCTAAATGACCCACTCAATGTTACTTACGCTGGACTTGACAGTGATTGAGGTCGAGCTTTCATCTATTCCCACAGATGACCCAGCTCGTGTTCCTTAGCCAAGACGTGACAGCGACAAGCGTCAAAGATCGCCTACACCACAGCTGGCCTATCAATAGTCTACCGTGGCCGCAAAAGTCACTCACCATGCCCAGAGCCCCAGGTCTCCACGAGGGCGCAGACTTCTTCCCCAGGATCGCGGCAACACTCGATAACGTCCCTGCACGTGGTGTCAGGAGTCACAGGGACGTCCGTGACGAGAGGGTCATCGTCACTACCGCTCTCCCCATACACTCGCACGATCATCTGCAAGGAGAGAGCAACACGTTTACAGTATCAGGACCGCAGTGAAGAGTCCTTGCACACTGAAGCGGTGGAGTAGCATCTTCCCTAGAACAGTAAACAGACAAAGGAGAAGAGAAAATGATGCGCATGAATGCCAACAAAATATGCGCAGAATATACTTATGACTACTGGGGAAACTAAGAAGGAAAGGAGTAAAAAGAGAACTAAATAACCGAAAAATTATACGCTTCCTGACCCGTAATATACGTATCTGTATCCTAATTTGTGATTTGCATTATAAAATCTACAATATATATATGTTCATATCCTTGTAGGATAGTGAAATAAATCTCTAATGTTTCTGTAACGAATATTCTTTTCAGCCACTGATGGAGCAGTATTCTTACTGTAGAGAAGTACCTGTATTAAAAGTAAAACGGCCTGAAGCGTAAAAAGTATAAGCTTCCAATCCACAATATTTCGATTTTGAGTACAGGTGTACACTGCGATGCCTCAACCTCGCGAGTAACACTCGAAGACTGGCTGCTGTGCTCAGCTCTGTTACTCCTGACAGATGGAGGCTGCAATATGGGAGGAATCGCACAAGCATTCCCCTGATGTATTTCGTGTGGCTAGTTCGACAGTTTCAATCGCGCCAGAAGACGAATGATCCTATTTTTCCAGTACGTCTGGGTCGGTGAGCAGACAGCATAGGAGGCGTAACTTATGTCATATAGCATCTCTGCTCTACACAATCATTACTGACGAGAGCGCATAGAAGAAGGGGGCATAAAATATACGTGGTGTTTAGACCTATGTGAATTGAACTTCAAATGCAGCCAATATATAAAGACAGAAGAATCGACTATCCGTGGCTAGGAACTAAATATGGCACTGCATGACTTTTATGAGGATATCAGGCTCAATAATCAGGAGAGCTATACACTTGGTCGTCGACTTAAGACCGACTTCCGTTCAGACTGAAAGGTCGTAAGTCGATCTGGTCGTATGTCGGCCATATATTTATTAACAGTATTTTTTAACCTTTCTAATATGCTTATCATCTTTATAATTTATTTTTAAAAATTTATTATTAATTTATTTATTTTTAATTAATTATTAATTTATTTTTGTGGTGGTAAGTGCGGCCGCTCGTAAGTCCCAAGTCGACGACCAAGTGTATAAACATATTCCTAATATGCAAAAATTGGTGAATGTATGCACTTAACATTGACGAAATCAAGAGCGATGGTTTTTAAGGAATATATCCAATGAGCTGCAAAATAATTATTTTAAATTCCATTAGGTCTACACAACAACTGACATATCTAAGGTAACCGCCATCCAACACTTCCTGCAAAGCTATTTACGATACAAATGAATATAGGAAAGATATAGGTTCACTCCACAATGGAATAAAAATAATTTTCAAATACTGCAAATGTAAATCAACTGGTGAAACGAAAAGGACAGTAATTATTTTTCATCGTATTTCGTCCAATATTCCTCACGTTGGAATACCCTTCAAATAAACGCGGAATACTAATTACTTTATACATTGCATTTATGCTTTAGTACAATCCGTAAGTCGATAAATTTGAATATAAGATTCATGTAAAGCGACGGTTACAGTTTATTGTATTTCGTCAATTTTCATCAAATTGGAATACGTTTCAAATAAACGTGTGTATACTAATTACTTTCACTCACTCATGGGGTTGAGCCTTTCTTGAAAAGCCGGCAACTGTGCAGCTGCCCAAGAACTTCCCACCGTTTTAAGGAACCCGAAGGTTCATTACCGTGTTCACAAGAGCTCTCCACTGGTCACTATCCTGAGTCACATCAATCCAATCCATACCATCTTTCTAAGATCCATTTTAATATTGTTCACCAACTTAGGTCTTGATCTTCCTAGTGGTGTCTTTCCTTCTGGCTTTCCCACCAATATCATATATGTAGTCCTCTTCTCCCCTTCGTGCTACATGCCCTGCCCATCTCATCCTCATTGACTTCATCGGTCTAATTATATTTTGGCGAAGAGTACAAGTTATGAAGCTACTCATTATGCAGTTTTCTCCAAACTCCTGTCAGTTCATCTCTCTTCGGTCAAAATATTCTCCTCAACACCCTGCTCTTAGTCTATGTTCCTCCCTTAAAATCAGAGACAAGTTTCACACCCATACAGAACCATAGGCAAAATTATAGTTTTGTATATTCTAATTTTTAAGTTTTTGGACAGCAGACGAGAAGACAACAGGTTCTGGACTGAATGGTAGCAAACATTACCCGAGTTCAATCTCTTAATTTCATTCTGAATCAGGTTTTGATTTGTTATAGTCGTTCCCAAATATCTGAACTGTGTCACATTTTCAAAGCATCTGTTAGCTATATTTGTGTCATGATTTTGCCCTGCATTCTGGTGACCAGACAGCAACATACAAGTTGTATACTTACTTTTCTCTGTGTTTACTTCTAGACCAACCTCCTTACTAGCGTCAGTTAAAGTCTGTGTGCTATTCTTTATGGGATATAACACCGTGTACTCCATTGAAAGTCTGCTGGCGTTTGGGAGGAACTTACTGCCTCCATCTTCAGGATCGAAGAATAAGCCGAGCAAGATGCCAGCGTGAAGTCAGGTGGAAAGCAGAGCTCTGTTTCAATATGGAAGTGATATGTTCCTCGAAACGTCGGTCGACTTTCAGCTGACTACACGGCGTTATATGCTGGAAGAGAGTGACCAAATATTAAAGTCACTCGATGAATCTGAGTGATGGGCGATGCCAAGTTTCATTGAAACCATCTGTGAAGTTTCAGAGACACAACTTTGCAACAGACAGTCGGACACATTCTTCTCATTATGCGTTCCTTTTGCGCAAAGAGACCAATGCTGGTGTACTGCAACAACCAGGCATCATATCTGACACCACACTAGCTCACAGTGTGGAACAAGTGATTTATGTCCCACTATTTGTTTCTAATGACACGTACAATTTTTCAGTGATTGGTGACGTTGATAACACGCCCAAAGCGTGGCGAACCGTCACTTTCGACCCCTCATCCTCCAGAGCCATCTATTATAGCATGCAGTATTCGAGTATAGCCATATTTCTCCATCATTTCTGAATGGAGAGTGGAGTTATGACGTCATGACTGAGGGTGACACTAAGTGGACGCTACGGTACGCGCAAGGAGTAGAACAATTTCGTAAACTTGAGAAACATATCACTGACTGCGGGGAATTATCTACTTGTATGGAACAAGAAACCGAAGTGAACGGAGAAATTCATGGAGGTAGGCCTAGGCCCACTGGGGCTGTAGTGCCAAGGAAAAAAAAAATGGAACAAGAAGGTTCATTATCGCATTTTAATGCGATGCGCTCCTGAAGTAGGTGAATTCAAACCACGTCCTTACACCCCATTTCTCCCTCAATCATTTTAATATTAAACTTCCAGCTATTCACATCTCTTCAGACTTCTCAACGAAATGACTTTAAGCGTTTTCTTTATGCGTACTTCGTGCACGGCAAGACGTATGCTTAATTTAACCTCTTAACGGCAAGATTAGGTGATTCTTCACAAATATTCCAGCTAAAGGTTTTTTTTAAAGCCTACCAAGGGATGATGTGCTGTCCCATTCTACTCTAATTTCTTCTCCAGTATATGACAAATGAACACAGTTCTGATAAAGAGTTGATCTATTACGTTAAAACCCACACTGATGATCCCACCACTTTCGTTTAAATGTGGAGTTAACATCGATGGAATAATATTGGACAACATTTTGTATGAGTTGATAACAATGCTAAAAGATAAATTTGCCCCTCTGCCGATTAATTATGCAATTAAGCACTAAGCCATGAAAACGTGTGTGTGTGGTGGTATCGCTCCGCCATTCTTGACCTCGTCACTATATGGAGGTGAGCTGTCATCTTCACGCTCCGGCCGCTTTACCCATCTGGAAAGAACTCCCGGTACCCATCTGATCGGAGACTGGGTGGGCCCCAAGCCTGGTATGGACCTTGTGAAATACAGAAAAATCTTACCCTTGCCGGGAATCGAACCCCGGTCGTCCAGCCCGTATCCCGTCGCTATACCGACTCAGCTAGGCTGGCTCCTTAATAACAACATTGTCCCGATAATAACAACAGTCGCCTTTATTGCTTTTCCTTTAAATAGGCACAATAATAGACTCGTTCCATTGCTGAGGCATTTTATGGATACCAAAATATGGGATTCCATTTCTTACGTGAATCAGTTCTGCCGGAATTATAATCACTTCCTGGGAATTTATTATAACGTTTCAGCTTTCCAATGGAAATCTCAACATGAAAAGGACTAGGCTCATGTAATAATGAATCAGCTGCATGTATTTCCTAACATCATTAAACCCAAGCACATTCAAGAGTTGAGAAATAATTCTTCCACCATTCAAAATAGTGCAGATACGTGCATCAGATCACCCTTCTCACGTTTTACAGAAATAATTTTGGATTTTCGGCCCTTGTTAGATTCATTTATGCCTCTATACAGGTCTCTAATTTATTTCTTCTTACTGCGTGTCGCAGGCTCATTAATTTTGTGTTTCAGATATTGCCTCTGCTTTTTCTCTTGTAATGTCTTCTAGTTCCATGTTTTACGTTGTTCACATTATCTCCGTTCATTTGTCTCGGATCCTGTAGCCATTACACGTTAGCGTATAGATCCTTATTATGTATTTTTATATTTCCCCCGGTTAATCCTTGTTTCTTAGGTCCTCCACACTCGTTGTTCAACGCTCTAGATCTGCTCATTTCATAAATCACTGTTGTGTTTAACAAACATCCACTTACTCTATTCCATTCCCTCTTGTTCCTCCAAGCGTCTGTATTCCAGCGATCCAAATGTACCACACAAGAAATGCTCCATATTAGATTAAACAAGTTTAGTTAAAATAATTCACCCCTCCACAGGTTCCTCGACTACACAGGTCATTTCGTTTGTTGCCGAAGAAGCAACGTGTTCGCAGCAAATTCTCGTCCACTT